TGGACACTTACCTTGAAATGAACATTGTTGTTTTGTAAGGGGAAGAAAGTGTTATGGTGAATAATATGGTTTTAATTATGTGTTTTTGTGTGAGTGTTTGTCTGTTTTGGCAGGTCACTGCGTGGTGTGGCTCTCTGATTTTCACAGTTTAAAATTTTGGCTCTTTGTGTCTAACTTGTTCGCCACCCCTGATCTAGGGTATCCAAGTGTGCCCCAGTGCACCTGCATGTCATCTTGTATCTCCAAGTGTGCCCCTATGTCTCTAAAAGAGTCCCATGTCACCTAGTGTCTCCAAGGGTGATACTGTGTCTTCAGGTGAGTCAAAGTGCACCATCATGTCACCTATCACATCCATCTGTGCCCCAGTGCATCCTCATGTCATCTTGTGTCTCCTAGTGAGTTCCGTGTCATCTAGTGACTCTAAGTAAATCCTGTGTCTCCAGGTGCATCCCTAGTGTACCCCCATGTTATCTAGTAACTCCAAGCACACTTCTGTGTCTCCAAGTGAGCCCTGTGTCATCTAGTGTCTCTAGGTGAACCCCAGAGTACCCCTATGTCATCTAGTGTCTCTAAGTGCACCCCCATGACATCTAGTGTCCCTAAGTGCACCCCAGAGTACCCCCATGTTATCTAATGTCTCCAAGCGCAGCTCTGTGTCTCCAAGTGAGACCTGTGTCATCTAGCATCTCTAAGTGCACTCCAGAGTACCCCCATGTTATCTAATGTCTCCAAGCGCACCTCTGTGTCTTCAAGTGAGCCCTGTGTCATCCAGTGTCTTTACATGCACCGAAGAGTGCCCCAATGTTATCTAATGTCGCTAAGTGCACCCCAGAGTACCCCCATGTTATCTAATGTTTCCAAGCGCACCTCTGTGTCTCCAAGTGAGCTGTGTCATCTAGTGTCTTTACATGCACCGAAGAGTGCCCCAATGTCATCTAGTGTCTCTAAGTGCACCCCAGACTACCCCTATGTCATCTATTATCTCTAAGTGCACCCCAGAGTACCTCTATGTCATCCAGTTTCTCTAACTGCACCCCAGAGTACACCCCATGTCATCTACCGTCACTAAGTGAACCCCCATGTCTCCAATAAGCCCTGTATCATCTAGTGACTCCAAGTGCACCCCTGTGCCTCCAAGTGCATCTCAGGTGTCTTCAAGCCTCCCCCCTCCCCTGTGTCTCTAAGTGCACCCTTTGTCTTCTAATATCTCCACGTGCGTTCTCAAGTCTCTAGGGAAGCTCTATGCCATCTAATGACTCCTAGTAATCCCTGTGTGCCCCTGTATCCCAGAGTGTGCTCCCATGCACCTCTATGACACCTGTGTCCATGCAGCCTCCAATACTCTCCTGACTTGGCAAGCCAGTCCATCTCTGAGTGGATACGGACCCCAGTATGCGGCAGTGGTGACCTTACATGAAACATTTTTATCTATATATCGGCCAAAGAGAGAAAAAGACAGTCTGACCATAAACACTCATTTCAATAGAAGGTGCTTTTAATTTGATGGCTATAATTCGATTAAATGTTCACATTTCATGTGCGGCTCATGTTGATAGCCATTGGTTGCTGCATTTGAAAGGGCTGTGTTATTGAATGGACATATCAAAGTGCCTATGGCCGTCTGGCCAGCTTGGTGCTGCATCAGGTGGGTGATCCTGTTGCTAGCGACATTTTGCAAGTGACAGGATCTCTATAACTTATAACAACTTATTCCTTTCCCATGGAGTAGCTCACTTGTTGGCTGGAGAGGTGAGAAGTCGCTCTCTTGCTGGATGAGATTCTGCAGTACTCCAGGCCAGCGTCCAGAGTGACCCCCCCCCCCCCCCATGATTCTGCTGTCGGAGATATGTCTGACATGACCCTTAGGAGTGGAGGGGGTGGAACAGAACCATAGATCTGGAGAGACAGAAAGTGTAAAGTCAGTCCTGGTCTTACTGGATGGCCTGCTATTGAACTACAAGTTCCAGCAAGTCCTGCTATTATAACAAGCTGCTCGGTGGAACTATAAGTCACAGCAGGACCATCACCATTAACAATATTCCCTGAGCAGTTGGCATTCACCATACCGCCCAGTGATTGCCTGCTGTGCAGAATACATTCATTCCTTTCTAGCGGAACACAAAGTGACCAATTCATGGAACATTTCCTGAACCCCGGAACACTTCTAGGGACAATTGGAGAGCCAGGGACTGCTCTGTAACTCAGGGACATCATGATACCCCTGCCTTGGGTCCCCGGCACCCACCATGCTGCTGAACCACAAAAAGTCCCATCCAGACCCATCACTGAACTAGAATCCCCAGACAGTGCTATTGATGAACTACAACTCCCAGCTATCCCATCACTGAACTAGAATCCCCAGACAGTGCTATTGATGAACTACAACTCCCAGCCATCCCATCACTGAACTAGAATCCCCAGACAGTCCTATTGATGAACTACAACTCCCATCCAGGCCCATCACTGAACTAGAATCCCCAGACAGTCCTATTGATGAACTACAAGTCCCAGCCAGACCCATCACTGAATTAGAATCCCCAGACAGTGCTATTGATGAACTACAACTCCCAGCCATCCCATCACTGAACTAGAAGCCCCAGACAGTCCTATTGATGAACTACAACTCCCAGCCAGACCCATCACTGAACTAGAATCCCCAGACAGTGCTATTGATGAACTACAACTCCCAGCCAGACCCATCACTGAATTAGAATCCCCAGACAGTGCTATTGATGAACTACAACTCCCAGCCATCCCATCACTGAACTAGAATCCCCAGACAGTCCTATTGATGAACTACAACTCCCAGCCAGACCCATCACTGAACTAGAATCCCCAGACAGTGCTATTGATGAACTACAACTCCCAGCCAGACCCATCACTGAATTAGAATCCCCAGACAGTGCTATTGATGAACTACAACTCCCAGCCAGACCCATCACTGAACTAGAATCCCTAGACAGTGCTATTGATGAACTACAACTCCCAGCCATCATATCACTGAACTAGAATCCCCAGACAGTCCTACTGATGAACTACAAGTCCCAGCCATCACATCACTGAACTAGAAGCCCCAGACAGTCCTATTGATGAACTACAACTCCCAGCCAGACCCATCACTGAACTAGAATCCCTAGACAGTGCTATTGATGAACTACAACTCCCAGCCATCATATCACTGAACTAGAATCCCCAGACAGTCCTACTGATGAACTACAAGTCCCAGCCATCACATCACTGAACTAGAAGCCCCAGACAGTCCTATTGATGAACTACAACTCCCAGCCAGACCAATCACTGCACTAGAATCCCCGAACAGTCCTATTGATGAACTACAAGCCCCAGTCAGACCCATCACTGAACTAGAATCCCCAGACAGTCCTATTGATGAACTACAACTCCCATCCAGACCCATCACTGAACTAGAATCCCCAAACAGTCCTACTGATGAACTAAACGTCCCAGCCATCCCATCACTGAACTAGAATCCCCATCCAGTCCTATTGATGAACTACAAGTCTCAGGCAAACTTACGGCTGAAGTACATGTCCCAGCCACCAGATTGCCAGTATTAAAGGTACAAATTCCAGCCAGCAATTTGGTATGGCAATGAAGTTACTGCCCACCATACCTGTGAACTACAAATGCCAGCCAGGATGACAGCCAAACAGAATTTTCAGAATTTTACAATGGTTGCTTTCATGTGTCCATGACAAGTTTACTTTACACAGCAGGCCTGGCTGGGGCTTGTGGTGCCTCATTAGACTCGGCTGGGACTTGTGGTTCATTGAACCTGGCTGGGACACGTGGTGCCTCACTAGACCTGGCTGGGCCTTGTGGTGCCTCACTGGGCCTGGTTGGGACTTGCGGTGCCTCATTAGTCCTGGCTGGGACTTGAGGTGCCTCATTAGGCCTGGCTGGGGCTTGTGGTGCCTCACTTGGCCTTGTGGTGGCTCATTGGGCCTGGCTGGGACTTGTGGTGCCTCATTAGTCCTGGATAGAACTTGTAGAGCCTCATTAGAAATGCGTGGGACTTGTGGAACCTTGGTAGGCCTGCCTGTGACTTGTGGTGCCTCATTAGACTCATCTTGGACTTGTGGTACCTCACTGGACCGGACTGGGCCTCGTGGTGCCTCATTGGGCCTGGCTAGGACTTGTGGAGCCTCATTAGGCCTGGCTGGGACTTCTGGTGCCTCAATGGGCCTTGTGGCGCATCATTGGGCCTGGCTGGGACTTGTGGAGCCTCATTAGGCCTGGCTGGAACATGTGGTGCCTCACTGGGCCTGGCTGGGACTTGTTGAGCCTCATTAGGCCTGGCTGGGACTTGTGGTGCCTCACTGGGCCTTGTGCAGCCTCATTGGGCCTGGCTGAAACTTGTGGTGCCTTGGTAGGCCTGGTTGGAACTTGTAGTGCCTCGTAATTCCTGACTGTGCCTTGTCATTGGGCCTGGCTGGGACTTGTGGTGCCTCACTGGGACTTGAGGTGCCTCGTTAGGCCTGGCTGGGCCATGTGGTGCCTCACTGGGCCTTGTGCAGCCTCATTGGGCCTGGCTGGGACTTGTGGTGCCTCACTGGCCTGGCTGGGACTTGTGGTGCCTTGGTAGGCCTGGTTGGTACTTGTAGTGCCCTCATAATTCCTGACAGTGCCTTATGCAGCCTCATAATTCCTGACTGTGCCTTGTGGTGCCTCATTATTCCTGGCTGGGACTTGTGGTGCCTCATTATTCCTGGCTAGGACTTGTGGTGCCTCATTATTCCTGACTGTGCCTTGTGGTGCCTCATTATTCCTGGCTGTGCCTTGTGGTGCCTCATTATTCCTGGCTGGGACTTGTGGAGCCTCATTAGGCCTGGCTGGGACGTTTAGTGCCTTGGTGGGCCTGGTTGGGACTTGTGAGTCATCATGAGACCTGGCTGGGACTTGTGGTGCCTCATTAGTCCTCCAGCCTCTGACCCAAAACTGACGTCCCCGCCCCCTCCAGTGGGCCGCAGCGGATCCCCGGTATGTCGTACTCTGCGGGGCGGCCGACGCTGCGCGTCCTGCGGCTGGGTTTGCTGTCCTACCCCCATGCCATACAGGCCCAGGCCCGGAGCGCCCGTCTGTGCGCGGAGCTGGAGGAGGACAGGCTGCTACTGCTGGAGCACAGGCCGGTGTACACGGTGGGGATCCGGCAGAGCCGGTACTCGGAGGCGGAGGAGGTCAGGCTCCGAGCCCTGGGAGCGGACTTCCAGCGTACAGACCGCGGGGGACTCATCACCTTCCACGGCCCCGGACAGTTGGTGTGCTACCCGGTCCTCAGCCTCCGCCGCCTGCGCCGTGGCCTTCGCAGATACGTGTGCGGCCTAGAGGGGGCGGCCATAGGCCTGTGCCGGGGGCTGGGCGTGACCGGAGAGCGAGCCGAGGAGACCGGAGTGTGGGTGGGAGAGAGGAAGATCTGCGCCATAGGTGAGGAATGGACTGTCCTGTATGTTATATGAGGATAGTATATGAGGGACTACAACTCCCAGCATGTCCTGTATAGTATATGAGGGGACTACAACTCCCAGCATGTCCTGTATAGTATCCGAGGGGACTACAACTCCCAGCATGTCCTGTATAGTATATGAGGGGCTACAACTCCCAGCATGTCCTGTATAGTATACGAGGGGACTACAACTCCCAGCATGTCCTCTATAGTATCCGAGGGGACTACAACTCCCAGCATGTCCTCTATAGTATCCGAGGGGACTACAACTCCCAGCATGTCCTGTATAGTATACGAGGGGACTACAACTCCCAGCATGTCCTGTATAGTATACGAGGGGACTACAACTCCCAGCATGTCCTGTATAGTATATGAGGGGCTACAACTCCCAGCATGTCCTGTATAGTATCCGAGGGGCTACAACTCCCAGCATGACCTGTATAGTATCCGAGGGGACTACAACTCCCAGCATGTCCTGTATAGTATATGAGGGGCTACAACTCCCAGCATGACCTGTATAGTATCCGAGGGGACTACAACTCCCAGCATGCTCTGTATAGTATATGAGGGGCTACAACTCCCAACATGCCCTGTATAGTATATGAGGGACTACAACTCCCAACATGCCCTGTATAGTATACGAGGGACTACAACTCCCAGCATGACCTGTATAGTATGTGAGGGACTACAACTCCCAGCATGTCCTGTATAGTATATGAGGGACTACAACCCCCAGCATGTCCTGTATATTATATGAAGGGACTGCAACTCCCAGCATGTCCTGTATATTATATGAAGGGACTGCAACTCCCAGCATGTCCTGTATATTATATGAAGGGACTGCAACTCCCAGCATGTCCTGTATATTATATGAGGGGACTACAGCCCCCAGCATGACTTGTATAGTATACGAGCAGACTACAACCCCCAGCATGTCCTGTATATGAGGGGACTACAACATCCAGCATGTCCTGTATAGTATATGAGGGACTACAACCCCCAGCATGTCCTGTATAATATATGAAGGGACTGCAACTCCCAGCATGTCCTGTATATTATATGAGGGACTACAACTCCCTAGCATGTCATGTATAGTATACGAGGGGACTACAACTCCCAGCATGTCCTGTATAGTATATGAGGGACTACAACTCCCAGCATGTCCTGTATAGTATATGAGGGACTACAACTCCCAGCATGTCCTGTATAGTATATGAGGGACTACAACTCCCAGCATGTCCTGTATATTATATGAGGGACTACAACTCCCAGCATGTCCTGTATATTATAGGAGGGGACTGCAACTCCCAGCATGTCCTGTATATTATATGAAGGGACTGCAACTCCCAGCAAGTCCTGTATATTATATGAGGGGACTGCAACTCCCAGCATGTCCTGTATATTATCCGAGGGGGACTACAGCCCCCAGCATGTCCTGTATATGAGGGGACTACAACCCCCAGCATGTCATGTATAGTATATGAGGGACTACAACCCCCAGCATGCCCTGTATAGTATATGAGGGACTACAACTCCCAGCATACACTGTATAGTATACTAGGGACTACAACCCCCAGCATGTCCTGTATATAGTATACGAAGGACTACAACCCCCAGCATGCCCTGTATAGTATATGAGGGACTACAACTCCCAGCATACACTGTATAGTATACTAGGGACTACAACCCCCAGCATGTCCTGTATATTATACGAGGGACTACAACCCCCAGCATGCCCTGTATAGTATATGAGGGACTACAACTCCCAGCATACACTGTATAGTATACTAGGGACTACAACCCCCAGCATGTCCTGTATAGTATACGAGGGACTACAACTCCCAGCATGCCCTGTATAGTATATGAAGGAACTACAACTCCCAACATGCCCTGTATAGTATATGAGGGGCTACAACTCCCAGCATGTACTGTATATTATACAAGGGACTACAAGCCCCAGCATGCCCTGTATAGTATATGAGGGACTACAACCCCCAGCATGCCCTGTATAGTATATGAGGGACTACAACTTCCAGCATACACTGTATAGTATACTAGGGACTACAACCCCCAGCATGTCCTGTATAGTATATGAGAGACTACAACTCCCAGCATGCCCTGTATAGTATATGAGGGACTACAACCCCCAGCATGCCCTGTATAGTATATGAAGGGAACTACAACTCCCAGCATGTACTGTATATTATACAAGGGACTACAAGCCCCAGCATGCCCTGTATAGTATATGAGGGAATACAATCCCCAGCATGCCCTGTATATGAGGGATACAACTTCCAAATAGGGAGGAATTCCCCAGCCGGGACAGTGCTAAATGACCCCCCAGGGGTTCTAACCCTCCTGCGCTCCATGTGCCCCCCCGTGAGTTGTTGCGGTGAAGTTGCTGATCTGGTCCCATGTCTCCTCTCTCCTGCAGGCGTCCATTGCTCTCACCATATCACCTCCCACGGATTAGCCCTGAACTGCAACACCGACCTGTCCTGGTTCCAGCACATCGTGCCGTGCGGAATCGAGGGGAAGGGGGTCACCTCGCTGAGCGCCGAGCTGGGAAGAGACGTCAGCGTGGAAGAGGCCATCCCGCCATTCCTGGAGGCCTTCAAGGAGGAGTTCAACTGCACTTTAGAGTTCAGCGACAGGAAAGAGACTGAGGAGCTACTACACTGATGGTGGTGTGTGTTTCATTTAGGAATCATACTATAGCAAAAGGAAGGTTTTTTTTTTTTAGTTTTGGATAGAGTGGATTAAAACCCCTTTTGGGTTGTCACCAGAACAGGAAAAGAGGGGAAATCTTCCAATGGGGACACTAGTTCTGGCTACACCCAGGGATTTCATCTCACTTCCTGTTTTAGCTATGAGACAGGAAGTGAAGGGAAATCTCCGCTATGGGACAAAGATGGCAAAAAAAATTAATAGGGGTTATAAATCCCCCCCCCCCCCCCCACTCTATCCAAAATGAAAATGAAAGTTATTTTCTTCTAGTTCTACTTTGCAAAAATGCCTCCCATTGACTTCAATGCGAAAACCAGTTGCTGGATACCTTATAGCAGTTTAACTACTACAGGGCGGCCGCTCTGTGCAGAATCACGTGATTCAGTACTTCCGGGTGGGAGGGCGGGGCGTGCACGCCGATTCTGCTGTGATTTGTCACAGCTGAAGCCAATCAGCAGGTGCCAGCCAATGGGCGACCGCCGGCACCCGCTGTCCGGTGAGGAGACACACTGCACGGAGCTCTGCATATGTAAGCAATGCAGAGCTCCGTCCCGTCAGCGGGATGTGCTGGATTTTGTTTCCCCTGCAAAGCAGGCAATAAAATCCAGCACATCCCTGACAGTACACACATAACCACTGGTTAGGCACACAGTTAACCCTTTGATCACCCTGAATGTTTGACCATTCCAATGAAGTCGCACGATTTCAAAGTCAGATGTCACTCCGACTTGAGGCACGACGTGTAAGATATCTGCCCAGATGTCTATGCAAGTCGCACCCGAAGTAGTCCATGTACTACGTTAGAAATTGGTGTGACTCCGACCAAGTTGGAACCGCACCGATATGATCGCTTTATCCACTCGCCCTACAGAGGATCCCCCCCCTTCCTGACCAGGCCATTGTATGCGTTACGGCACTGCGTTACTTTGACAATTGCGCGGTCATGCAACGCTGCTCCCAAATTAAATTGACATCCTTTTTTTTCCACCCACGAATTGAGCTTTCTTTCGGCAGTGTTTGATAAACTGTGCGTTTTTTTATTTTTTTGCGCTATAAATAAAAAGGCCGTCAATTTTGAGAAAAAAAACAATATTTTTGATTTTTTTTTGCAATTAAACATGTCCAGTAAAAAAATTAAAAAAATCTAATTTCATCATAAATTTAGGACAAAATGTATTTTTCAACATGTCTTTGCTAAAAATAAAAAATCCAAATACGTGTAAATTAATTGGTTTACGTGAAGGTCATAGCGTCTACAAATGGCGGTATAGATACTGGATTTTTTTTTTTTCAATGGCGGAGATCAGCGACTTATAGCGGGACTGCGACGGGCATTCTGACACTGGGGGAGAAATGACTCGGCGTCACTGACATCCTGTAAAAACATGGCAGGGGTGCTAATCCCCCTCCACTCTATCGAAAAAAAAAAAAACTTAAAAAGTTAACACCGTACATACATAAATTCATACTTTTTTTTTTTTTTTTAAGGAGAAAATTTTTTTTTTTTTTTTGCCAGTACTGTATTTAAAAAATATTTTATTTTCTGTGGAATCTGTGGACGAAAAGATATAAGATTTCCATTTTAACTGTTTTGATTTGTGTTTAAAAAAATATTTTTTTTTTTCTGTAAAAGAAATATATTGTTTATTTGTTTAGTTTAAAATGACGCTAAATTATATTTCTGGTTCAAAATGAATAAAAGCATTTCCCTATTATTATTATTTTTTTTTTTTTTCAGTTTTGCACGTTTCCTTGTTAGGAGACACAAAACAAATTAAAAATGGAAAAATAGGAAATATAAATAATATAATTAATAAATAAAGGGAAAAAATAATAGCTAATGGGAGAAGGGGAAGAAGGAGTTCATTTGGGGTGATTGGAATTATTAAGGGGTTAAATAGGATTACATTTTATTTTTTAAAAATGTAACTTTTAAGGTTTCTGAATCCGTTCCCGTCCTGGAGCTCTTTTAAAAAGTTCCGAACGCCAGGAAGGGTGGGAAAGTGACCACTGTGATTGGCTGTCATAGAGGTCACAGGATTGGGTGTCGGTCCTGCCGATCGTTAGCGGAGACTAATGCAGGCCATAAACGGGTCGAAAATCGGCCGATTTTCGCACCATTAATGGGTTAATTGGTCGGCCGTTTTTTCGGGGTTTTGGCACAAATTTTTTTATCGTAAAGTTGGAAAAAAATCGTCCGATTTTGCCGGCAATGATGGGCAAATCGCCGATTGTTTTACCGATACAAAATCTGCGCATGGGCCTTAACCTGCAAGAAGAAGAAAAAGAAGAATAAGAAAAAAAGAAGAAAAAGAATTCCAGTCCGCTATTATATTTGACATGAAAAAGTCTTGCGGTTGCAACAATGTATCCATTTGTATCCAAATAAAAACATCTGTATATGAAATGGATACAAATAGATACATTGTTGCAACCGCAAGACTTTTTCATGTCAGATATAATAGCGGAGCTCTCTGCAGGGACAGAAGTAATTAAATGCCGACCGTAGATGGGACGAAAATCGGATGATTTTTTTTACCGTTGGTGGTAACGTCGGCCTATTGAACGACCAATTTTTTTTTTTTAAAAAAAACGGCCGGTTTTTGACCCGTCTATGGCCTGCATAAGAGCTATCTTTTCCCCAGTAAATACCATGGAAGGATACATTGATTCACTTAATTTACTCAGTGACACCCTGGGGTCTATGTATTAAAGGCCGGCTCACACCAGACCACGGGGCGGGAAAGGTGGTTCCGCGCGCGTTTCCCGCATTGCTTTCAATACGCACTACCTTTGTGATCTGCTGCGGGTGCCAATGGAATGTTAAAGCCACCCTAATCGCAGATCTCAAACGCAGTGCCATGCCGCAGGACCTTGTGATTTGGTGCGGTGCATTTGTGATTGTTGTAGGAACTGCAAATATCGGAGGCGGTGATTTTCATGGTAAATGTGCAGATGGTGGTCATCTAAAGCCATTTTTTTCAGTTTTGGATGGTGAAGTGTGGAAGTGTAGGGCACTTGGAACTGTCTGCCACCTCCCTCCCACTCGGGAAGTTTTACATTCTCTTTGTTCTGGTCACCACAACCCCTGTGTGAGTGAGTGGCAGCTGCAGGGGAGAGGAGGGAATGCCGATAACAGCTGGGACATGTAAGCCTTTGGGTGACATCACCATGCCATAATTCCCAGGCATTGTCTGCACTCCCTCCTCTCCCTTGTGTCAGTGAGCAGCAGCTGAAGGGGAGAGGAGGGAACGCTGTCAACAGCTGGGACATGAAAGCCTATGGGTGACATCACTGCTCCCAGAATTCCCAGGCATTGTCTGCACTCCCTCCTCTCCCCTGTCTTAGTGAGAAGCAGCTGCAGGGGAGAGGAGAGAATGGTGACAACAGCCGGGACATGGAAGCCTAGGGGTAATGTCGCCAATCCTGGAATTCCCAGGTATTTTCTGCACTTCCTCCTCTCCCCTGTGTCAGTGAGCAGAAGCTGCAGGGGAGAGGAGGAGAATGGCGACAATAGCTGGGACATGGAAGCCTATGGGTAATGTCGCTGCTCCCAGAATTCCCAGGCATTGTCTGCTTTCCCTCCTCTCCTTGTGTCAGTGAGCGGCGGCTGCAGGGGAGAGGAGGAAACACTGTTAACAGCTGGGACATGAAAGCCTATGAGTGACATCACCATCCCAGAATTCCCAGGCATTGTCTGCACTCCCTCCTCTTCGCTGTGTCAGTGAGCAGCAGCTGCAGGGGAGAGGAGGGGATGGCAACAACAGCTGGGATATGGAAGCCTATGGGTAATGTCTCTGCTCCTGAAATTCCTAGGCATTGTCTTCTTCTCTCCCTCCTCTCCCCTGTGTCAGTGAGAAGCAGCTGCAGGGGAGAGGAGAGAATGGTGGCAACAGCCGGGACATGGAAGCCTAGGGGTAATGTTGCCAATCCTGGAATTCCCAGGCATTTTCTGCACTTCCTTCTCTCCCCTGTGTCAGTGAGCAGCAGCTGCAGGGTAGAGGAGAGAATGGCGACAATAGCTGGGACATGGAAGCCTAGGGGTAATGTCGCTGCTCCCGGAATTCCCAGGCATTGTCTGCTCTCCCTCCTCTCCCCTGTGTCAGTGAATGGCAGCTGCAAGGAAGAGGAGGGGACATGAATGTCTATGGGTGACATCACTGCTCCCAGAATTCCCAGGCATTGTCTTAATTTCCTAACCCTAAATTTTTTTTAAATACATTTATAATAATAATAATAAACACCCTAACAAAAAATAAATACATTATTATGATGTAATACTAAATAAATAATTAACCCCCTAATCTTAACAATCTAACTCTAAAAAAAAAATGAAATTATTATTATTGAATTATTATTATTGTTGTTATTATTATTATTATTGTTGTTGTTATTATTTTTATTATCAATAATAATAATAATACACACCCCAACGAAAAGTAAATAAATAATAAGACAATAAATAAAATATTAACCCCTAATCCTAACACCTAACCTAACCCCTTTACCCTATCAATAAAATAAATAAATGAATAATATTAAAAGCTTAAAAAGCTGAAATACCTAGCAACAAACAATGAAACAGATAATATTTTCCTCTACTGGCTAGTAAAAAAAAAGCTCAAAAACACTTTACAAAAAACGTGCGCCAAAATGTCGGAAAAAAAACGCGATGCTCAGGTGTGGAATGCAGCCTTTAAGTGGTTGTAAGACCTGAAGTATGAACAAAACATATCCTTCTATGGTGTGTACATGTCTCAGTCCAGAGCACTAAGTGTCATTTCTGTCTGCTGCCTCCTTCCTCTGCTATCAGCATAAATAACTTCTGACAAATTTTTCTTACACCAAAAGCAAAATGGTGACATGGGAGATAGCTCCAGCACACAGCCTCTGATTGACAGCCTTAGCTCTGCTCCTGTATGCTGTGTGGAGGGGGTGTGTCCATTCCCTCCAAT